TTATTTGTCCACCATTCACAAGCACTGAGTTCAATACCCAACATCGCGACGGAAGGGGGGAGCATGTAGGGAGACAGTGAGAGAGCGAGAACGCAAAAGGAAAAAAAATATCTACAACTCCATGCTGGATTTCAGGGGGTCTTGATGCTTTTCTAACAAGAGCCCAGGCGTAAAAATGTTAGGTGAACTTGCTTCTGGGGACTTAAGTGTTGGATGGGCATCCGAGCTCCGATGGGTGTGATATGTATGGGAACTAGGATTACGGGTAGAGAGACTGGAATTGGGAAGAGGGTCTAGATTGGGAAGAGTCTGGGATCACCTGCTGCCCCTTCATCTCAGCCTTTTTTCTAGGTGGCCATCAAAGTAATCTCCCGGAACCGTGTGCTAGGCTGGTCCACCGTGGTGAGTGTCTTTGGTGTACGTCATGACCCATAGACTCCATCACGGAACGCACCCACTGCTTTTTTCTAGGGGACACATGACTCCCTGGGCCCTGAAACCGTGAGAACCTCACCAGCCTGTGATTCCTGGCTTCGTGTGATAGTTCTGATTTCACCGCAATTCCCCCAGAGCCCTGAATTCTCTCAAACTCTCCTTTCTCATCCTTCTTCCAAATATTGCTTTGGGGGCTGTTCACAGGACATGCTGGTGGGGAAGGAGGGGCCTAGGTCACTGGTTGTCATGGTGATGCTGGCTGCTTCTCTCCTGCCACCCCGAGAACGCTAACGGACATCAGGGCGGGTCTGGGCAAATTGTAGGTAAGAGAGCTCCCCCTGGCGGGCCCTTCAGGTAGTCTGTGCCGGCCCGTGAACTGAGGGGGGGGGGTGAGCCTGCGCAGTAGCCGATTTTGCGTCTCTCGTGAGAAAACCTGTCTGAGGCTGTGCAAGTTGGTGGGCCTGTAAAGGACCCCACCTGAGGCAACAAGACTCTAGGCCGTTGCTGCCTGTTCGGGTCTGGGGCAGGGCCCGTTATTGACTTTTGCTGGTTGATAAGTTTGACTGACAAGACAGCATTTGGTAAATGTTTACTCTGTGCCCGGTCGTTGCAATTAATCAGTGTAAGCTGTTTTGGACAAATGAAAGCCAAGATTGATGGCGCACACCTGTAATCCCAACAGTCAAGAGGCCGAGTCACTAGGATTTCAGTGAATTTGAGGCCAGCTTGGGCTACATGGCAAGATTCTGTCTCAAACACGAGGCAGAAAATTTAAAAACCAGAGGACACCTCTGCAGTGGTTTAATTTATAGGCACTTTGCAAAATACGACATCATTTTTTAGAATTCATTATATGCTAGATCCCTTCTGCTAACTGCTCTCTCTGTCTTAACGTCGTGAGTTCTCTGTTACTAAGGACTATTGATCCTTGAGATATGCTAGTGAAAAAACCTGACAACACTTATACAATAATAGTATTTAATGTATTAATAATATTAATTTAATAGTATCTAGTTCCGTGCTAGCCCCTCTTTGCTGTAAAGTACTTCCATTTACAATTGAGTATCTAGCATGCATAAAAACTGTCCTGATGTGGATCTTTACGAGCAAGATAGGTAAAATTACAAAGGACTTACATTAGAAAACACTTTGAAGGCCAGGCACGGTGGTGCACACTTTAATCCACTGCAGGTAGAGGCAGGTGGCTCTCTTGAGTTCCAGTCCAGCCTGGTCTATGTAGAGATCCTGTCTCAAACTCCCTCTCCCTCAAAACAGATGAGAACACTTCAATTTATCTAAATAATCTACTGACCTTCTACATGTCAGATGTGTGGGGTCTCTGTTCATTTCACTCTCCAGTGGACTTGAACCTTTAAGAGGGTACTAGAGTCTAGGAAGGGGACCCCAACCAAAATCAGTCCTTTGAAAATAAACTTTACAATGTTGACAGCAGGGCTACAGACTTAACCCTTGCCTTCTTCTTTCTTTTTACTTTCCACCCTCCAGTCAGACTCAGTCACCTGCCCACTTGAGGTAGCACTGCTGTGGAAAGTGGGTGAAGGCAATGGCCATCCAGGTGTGATACGCCTGCTTGACTGGTTTGAGACACCAGAAGGCTTCATGCTGGTCCTTGAGCGGCCTATGCCTGCCCAGGATCTCTTCGACTACATCACAGAGAAGGGGCCGCTGGGTGAAAGCTGTAGCCGCAGCTTCTTTACCCAAGTGGTGGCAGCTGTCCAGCACTGCCACGCCCGTGGAGTTGTCCATCGTGACATCAAGGATGAGAACATCCTGATAGACCTGTGCCGGGGTTCTATTAAACTCATTGATTTTGGTTCTGGTGCCCTGCTCCATGATGAACCGTACACGGACTTCGATGGTAAGGCTTACAGTTTATGGTGGGAGGGCTGGTTTTAATCATTAATTCTTCTGGCTTTTGAGCTTTAGCATTATTAGATTATCCTTGTAACATTTGACTCATGTCATAGACTTTAAGGTTCTTCATTCCTAACACTATATTCTCAAGCCTAGATTGCCAATAAAATTCATCTTATAAGAGTTTCTTAACCTTCTGGGCTTTTATTTTTTCAGTGGGGGGGGAGTAGGATTGGGTTTTGTTGCTGGGGTTTTGGTTTGGTTTTGGTTTGGTTTTGGTGAAATGATCTTACTGTTAATTTTGAAGTATCCCTTTAAAGCTGTTTTGCTGCTAACAGGACTCTGCTGTTAAAGTTGAAATGCAACTGCTCTAGCCAGTGGATACCCTCCTTTGAGTTTACAGTTTGGACTTGTAGGGACACAGGGGTTGAGGAAAGGCATCGCCAGATGAAAATCTAATCCAATCCTTGGCTTGTGTGCAGGGACAAGGGTGTATAGCCCTCCGGAGTGGATCTCACGACACCAGTACCATGCCCTTCCAGCTACCGTCTGGTCACTAGGTGTCCTACTCTATGACATGGTCTGTGGGGACATTCCCTTTGAGAGAGACCAGGAGATTCTCGAGGCTGAGCTCCACTTCCCTGCTCATGTCTCCCCAGGTGAGGGCTGTCACTCACTCCAGCCCAGCTGGCTTCATTCTTCCCAGGTCTGGGTACCCCTTGCTGACTGCTAATCTCCCTTGTGCTTCTTGACCCTACAGATTGCTGTGCCCTAATCCGCCGGTGCCTGGCCCCTAAACCCTGCTCCCGACCCTCACTGGAGGAGATTCTGCTGGACCCCTGGATGCAAACACCAGCTGAAGAAAAACCCATCAACCCCTCCAAAGGAAGCCCTACCCCCTTGCCCTGGTCCCTGCTTCCCTAGACTCAGCCAAGCTCTCTGGTTGGAATCCCATGGTCATGCTACAGGGATAGATGGACATCTGTTGACCTGGTTATACAGGTTGTTAAAAATCCAGTATTACTAAGGTCAGGGAATAGGGATCAGGGGTCAGAAGATGATAGCCAAGTCTGCCCAGTTCCTATCCCAATTCTGGGAAGGAACTCTCCTCCCAGAACCTGTGGTCCCTAGTTTGGGAGGGGGAGTTACTTGTTTCTTGTTCTGTTAAGGATGTTTATTTGGTTGGATTCCTTCCCTTCAGAGCCCTAAGATTCTTATTCTACATTGTAGTCCCTACACTGGCACCTCCTATACTACCACCACAAACGTAGACACTTAGTTCAAATGCTCTCACTTGGGCAAGGGTGCTTTCCTTAAAATTACCCCGCCCCACCCCACCCCACCCCCAGCTGCTCTTTAGCAAAAGGGCCTTACTTACCCTGGGATCTCATTCAGTTGCTGCTTGCCTGCCTTAGCCCAGAAATGATTATTCTGGGAGGTAATGCCCCATTAATTAATTAGTATCCTAGTGCTTTTTTTCTTTTTGTTTTTTTTTTCTTTGTTTGGTGAGGGGACCCTACTGTTATCCCAAGTGCTCTTATTCTGGTGAGAAGAACCTTACTTCCATAATTTGGGAAGGAATGGGAGATGGACATCACCGGACACCACCAGAGACTAGGATGGGATGGGTGGTTTTGGGGGGATGAGATGGAGGAAATAAGTCTTACTGTTGTTCTCCTGGGGTCCCCCCTCTCCAACTTTTGCTGCCTCCTCCTGAGCCAGGATTGTCCAGTGGTTGAAATGTAAATAATTGCGTACTGGAGATGGAGAGCCACCAGTGTGCCCTCCTGTCCCTTCTCCCCCCTGCCTGGATTATTTAAAAAGCCATGTGTGGAAACCTATTTAATAAATAATGAAGTCGCAAGTTGATGGCCATTTATATAGGTAGGCATTAGTGGAGCATCTACTAGATCCTGAATTTAGGAAGTAGCGGGAGAAAAATCTCGAGGTGGGGGGGGAAAAACACAGCGGGGCTTGTCTGACTGATTTTTTTGTTTGTTTTGGGTAGGGTCTTTTTTGAGTCCCATTCTTTCCCCAAACTTGGAGTACTAGGATTTGCTTGCACAGAAATTTCGGGTTAAATCTCAGGCTCCAACTAGAATCTTTCTAGCACTCTCTGTCTAGCTTTTAACCATTTAATTTTGTCTCTACCTTTCACGCTTCTCCTTTGCATCTTCCTCAACTCACCTCCTTTAGTTTCTCTAATCCTGACTACTGTCCTGCCATCTGCCCCTCATTCCCTTCTAATGGTCACAATCCCTGTCCGCTCTGGTTCACTAGTCCCGCCTTCTCGAACGTCCCGTTCCTCTCAGTTGGCCTCTGGCCCTTAGAGGGCAGGACCTGGCTGGGAAGGGACTAGAACTGATTCTGACGCGAGAAGGGTGGTGCTATCTGGGGTTTCCAATAAGAAGCCGAGATGGCGGAACAACGGAACCAATGAAACCATGGGGCTGTTAGGACAGGTGGTTATGGACAGTCGGGGTCAGTGAGGCGTGCGAACGAAAGATGGGGGCCTGGTCTACGGTCACGAGTGTGCAAATAAGGCCTACGTAAAGGCTGTGGGAGACGATCTGCGGCGCCCTTGCTCTCCTTTTTTTTTTTGCTGGAATCTGGGAACCCGAAACCACCATTTTAGAATCAAGCTGGGAACGGGCTAAGAGCACCTCCCTCCCGACGCCCCGCCCCCCGTCCCGGCTAATGCCCCGCCCCCACACCGGAGGTCCGGAAACGGACGTGATGGATACGGAAGTAGCCTGCTGTTGCCGAGGGGACGGGACGGGCAGATGCCAACATGGCAGCGGTTGGGGTTGGCGGTTCTACCGCTGCTGCCGGGACAGGGGCTGTGTCCGCGGGCGCGTTGGAACCTGGATCCGCTACAGCGGGTGAGGTAGCCTGAAGTAGAGGCGTTGGCTGGGCGGAGGTCGGAATTCTTGAGGGTGGAATGAACCTAGACTGAAGTGACAGCTCATCTCGTGAGAACGGACCTACGTGTTAATGTGTGCGTGCGTGGTGGGAAAAAGGAAGAGAGTGGACCATTGTATGTTGCGGGTAGGAATCGGTCATTCTGTGGGTGACTGGCTGGGGTCCTGGATTCGCAAATAAAGACCATTGTGAATGTGTGGGGAATTTCCTTTTGAGGAGGCTAAGAACATTGAGAATGTTCGGAAGTGGGGTGGTAATCTTTAATTGTAGAAGGGAGAGATGATTGTGGGGTGAGAGTTTTTCCTTATAGAAGGGAGATACGACTCTTAGGGTGGTGGCTCCTTCCTTATAAAGGGACCTTATAAATTGTCAGGGTGGGGCACATCCTTGTATGACTAGTGGATCCATTTTGAGCATGAAGCTGTCCTTCATTACGTGGGGAGAATGTTCTGGGGATGTTCCTTCCAAATGGAGACAGTTCTATTTGTGTTGAGGTGGGAGGGTTCCTTCCTTATAGGTCAGAAAGAACATTCTGAAGGTGCCAGGTGCTTCTGTATGGCAGAGAGCTCATTGTGAGTGTGGGTAGAACAAAGAATAATTCATTGGCGGGGAGGAAGGCATACAGCAGAGGGAGGACGGACCATATGCAGTAGGGAAGTATTTCCATATGTAATTAAAGGAATCAGACTATTGTGGTAATTATATGAGATGGAAAAGTAGAACAAACCTGAGGAGGTGAACATCTTAAGCAATTGTCGTTTTATTATGTTACAACATTATTTCATTTATGGGACAGTTCTGCAAGGAGAAACATTACTTCATAGAAAGCCTCAATTTGCGCATCCACAAAACAGACTTTTTCCTAGTACCTTCAGAAATCAAGTAATGTGAAGAATCCATGTCAATCCCTTAGTACAGTGATAGGCATGCTGTAAGTATTCAATAACTATGGGGACTGCTGTCCGAGAAAGAGTGGCTTCCCCCCAGAGGGAGAAGCAGCAAAGATGAGTGTCCAGAGCTTGCCCTGGTCATTTCCTCACACTAAGGGTTTCAGATTAAGAGCTAGTCAGACTGGGGCCCACTTCACCCTGTCTTGCCCCCCCCCACCACCACCATAAGCTGATGGTGTGGAAACAGATATAGCTCAGACTCTCATTGGGTCAGGATGTGCAGACAGAGGAAGTCCCAAGGGCCAGAAGGTTTTTTGATTGAGAAAAGAGGATTGAGGTGGGTGACCATACCCCAGCTTCTGACTCTATCCTTCCCCTATGTTCCTTCCACTCCCTGCAGCTCACCGGCGCCTCAAGTATATATCCTTAGCTGTGCTGGTGGTACAGAATGCCTCCCTCATCCTCAGCATCCGCTATGCTCGCACACTGCCTGGGGACCGCTTCTTTGCCACCACTGCTGTGGTCATGGCTGAAGTGCTCAAAGGTCTCACCTGTCTCCTGCTGCTCTTCGCACAAAAGAGGGGTATGAGTCACAAATGGGATGGTTGGTGGGACTCCCTAAGTTAAGTGTGTAAACACACCTGGACGGTTTGCTGGGCGAGTATAGTGGTGTGTCTGAAAACGCTTGGGGAGTATGTAAGCATCTAAGCTTCCTGGCCGCTGCAGCTGTGTGAAGTTGCATGCCCACTTGTATATTCCTTATGCCTGAGAACTACAGTAGTGAGATAGGCTGCCCACAGGCAACAGAAGACTCTTGCTCATTCAAAGATTTTAATGACAGCATGAAGATCGGGAGCTCAAGATAACAAGTTCAAGTTTAGCCTCGGCTACATGTGATTATCTCAAAAAAAAGAGAGAGAGAAACTTTGTAATATAGAGAACTCTCTCTCTCTCTCTCTCTCTCTCTCTCTCTCTCTCTCTCTCACACACACACACACACACACACACACTCAAAGAATAGTGAAATAGTAAAAATGTGCCTCTATCCATTATTCAGGTTGACAATTATCAGCTCTTGGTCACGCTGTCATCAAACCACATCCGTGGCTAACTGCTCACGGCTAATCTATATATCTTTTACATATCTGCACCTTTATAGAACCATTTGGGTATAGTGTTGTGCACTTTTTTTTTGTTTGTTTTTCGAGACAGGGTTTGTCTGTGTAGCCCGGGCTGTCCTGGAACTCACTCTGTAGACCAGGCTGGCCTCGAATTCATAAGGATCTGTCTGCCTCTGCCTCCCAAGTGCTGGGATTAAAGATTCACACCTCCCCTCATCCCCCCCCCCCCGTCACGCATTTGTAACTGCAGCTGTTCAACATGCTTCTGCAGAGGATCTGTTAATTCTATAAACTCAAGGTTATCTTGAGCAACATTTCAATGCTCCATTTGAAAACAAGAAGAGGTAAGCAGTAAGTAACTGAAAGGATACTGCCTAGAGTTAGGGGTGTGGCTCAATGACAGAGTGCTTGCCTAGCATGTATAAAGCTCTGGCTTTGATAGCCACCACCTCATAAACCAGTTATGATGAATCCCTATAATCTGAGACAGAAGAATCAGCAGTTCAAGGTCATCTTTGGCTACAAAATAAATTCAGGGACAGCCTGAACTATCTGGAATTCTATCTCAAAAACATATAATAAGAAATCATACATGGAAAAATAAATAAACCATAAAGTTGGGTGTGGTGGTTCAAACCTGAAAGTCTAGCACATGGGAGGCAGAAGGAACCTAAGTTCCTGGACTGAAGCAAGACCCAGGTTCAAAATAAAACAAAGAAAAATTCCCCAAAGCCACCAAAGGACAGAAAAAGCAAAGCCAGACCTGCAGGCCTGTAATCCTGGCTACCTGAGAAGCTGAGGCAGGAAAATCCTAAGTTCAACCCTAGACTAGTCAACTTTGTAAGACCCAGTCTCAAAAGAAAACATAGCATGGGTAAGATAGCTCAGCAGATAAAAGCTCTTGCCATGCCAGCCTGAGAACCTGAGCGTTATCTATCAGAGCCTGTGATGGATGGAGAGAAATTCACTTCAGCCTCTACATTGTCCTTTGACTTCCACACGTGCACCATGGGATGTGCATGCCCACTCTCACACACATGCATCACACAAACACAAAGTACTGGAAATGTAGCTCGACTATAGAGCACTTGCCTATCTTGTTCAGGGTTGTAGGTTCAATCCCATCTTGCACACGCACACACACACACCAGTACTGGCTGGGAAGATGGCTTCAAGTGTAAAATGCTTGCTGTACATGAGTGAGGATCTGGTTTAAGCTCAGAACCCTCATCAGCACCAGGCATGGCGGCATGCATCTAATCTGAGCTCATCTTTGTGAGTTCAGGGACAGGGAGATAGTGGACTGGCAGGTGATTGGGGACTGCTGGTCCTGTGGGCTCACTGACCAGCCAGTCTAGCTGAAAGATCCAGGCCTGTTGCAAACAAAAGGTGGAGCCAGGCAGTGATGGGTGATGGTGCATGCCTTTGATCCTAGCACTTGGGAAGCAGAGGCAGGCGGAGTACAGAGCTAGTTCTAGGACAGCCAGTGCTACCTTCAGAGAAACCTGTCTCAGAGAGAGAGAGAGAGAAGAAGGAGGAGGAGGAAGAAGAGGAGGAGGAAAAGGAAAGAAAAGGTGGAGAAAGTTGGAGCGGTGGCTCAGTAGGTAAGAGTGCAGTCTGCTCTTCTAGAGGCTGAATTCAGTTCCTAGTACCTCTACCACGTGGCCCACAACCACCTATAACTCCAGTTCCAGGGGCATCCAATACATCCGGTCTGTACAAGCACTGCTCACACATGTATTCAGACACATATATGCACATATTTTTTAAACCTTAAAAAACAAAATAAGGTAGGGCTTGAGAGATGATTCAACTGTTAAAAGCATTGGCGGCTGCTCTTCCAGAGGAGCCAGTTTGTGGCCAGCATCCACATGGTGGCTCACATTTGTAGCCCCAGTTCCAGGGGACCTGACATCCTCTTCCAGCCTCTTTGGGTGAGACACACATGTAGTACACAGTCATTCATGTACACATACATGTGTAAACTCATTTACATAAAAATAAAGCTTAAGATAGTGATAGCAAAGATGTCCAACATCAGCCTCTGTCTTCCATGTGTACCAGCCCAGGCTCCACAGAGAGACTCTTTTGCTTCTTAATGTATCTAGGACTGAGAAGAAAGATGTTTGGGTGAGAAATGGACCGTTAAGGACATAGGATGTGTAAAAGACTTATTCTGGATGTATATAACTCAGTGGTGTGTCAGGCCTTAGGTAAAACCACAAACAAGTCTAGAATCTTCCTTCTGTGTCACACCGTTCTAAGTACTTGGTGATTATTTCATTGTATACATATGTTTGTTCAGTGTCAGGAAGGTATGATGAACTAACTGTAGTTGATTAGCAAGTATGGTGGAATGCATTCATAGTTTTGTGACCATTAGTTTTCTTTTCTTACAGTGTTGGGGTAGAACCTGGGGGCACACATCTGTTAGGCAAGCACCCCAGCACTGAACTATATCTGCATTCCTTTTTGCAGTAAGTCGAGTATCACAAAGGCTTTTGTTTGCCGGGCAGTGGTGGCGCACGCCTTTAGTCTCAGCACTTGAGAGGCAGAGGCAGGTGGATTTCTGAGTTCGAGGCTAGCCTGGTCTACAGAGTGAGTTCCAGGACAGCCAGGGCTACACAGAGAAACCCTGTCTCGAAAAACCAAAACAAAACAAACAAAAGGCTTTTGTTTAAGAAGGCAAGGTCTTACTCATTAGGGCTGGCTATCCTGGAATTCAGTATGTAAAGAAGGCTGGCCTCAAACTACCAAAGATCCACCTGCCTCTGCCTCCTGAACGCTGGAATAAAAGGCTCACATCAACATGCCCAGCTCAGAGAGAGTTTTGGCATTGTTATACTGTAGGAGAAAGTGCAAGAGGAAGAGGGGAGCATCTTTTGGTGGTGGTGGAGGTTGAGACTGGGAGGTGGACAGAGGAGCCATGCCTGGTCCCCACCTTCAGCAGAGCCTCCTCCCACCTAGGTAATGTGAAGCACCTGGTCCTCTTCCTCCATGAAGCTGTCCTGGTACAATATGTGGACACACTCAAGCTCGCCGTGCCCTCTCTCATCTATACCTTGCAGAATAACCTCCAGTATGTTGCCATCACCAACCTGCCAGCTGCCACTTTCCAGGTGAGCCTCCAGCTTGGCATAGCCGCTGGGGATCTAGGAGACAAGGGGGGCAATAGATGGAAGGAGGGAGGCAGCCTGCAAAGAACAGGTACTATGTCACTTTCAGAATGGTCTTGGAACTCCCTTAAATTTGGTTTGTTTATGTGTCGAAACTGAAAAGAGAGATGCTTAGATAACTGAAAATATACCTGGGGCCAAACATGTTGGCATATACCTGCAAATCCAGTACTCAGGAGGCTGAAACAGAAGGACTTGGGGTTCAAAAACAGATTGGACTACAGAAAGAAACTGATTCTTGGGATTCAACAGTTAAGAACAGTGGCTGCTCTTCTACGGGAACCGGGTTTGATTCCCAGCACCCACATGGCGGCTCACAACCATCTGTAGCTCCATTCTCAGAGGATCTTTCCCTCCAAAGGCACTAGGCATGCATGTGATGCACAGACATCCATGTAAGCAAAACACCCATACATAAGTGGGCGGGGGTGGCCATATGCATTATCTCTGTATATTTTGAGTGTATATAATATATAAATAATATATAGATTAACGAAAGAAATCTTATCTCAAAGAAAAGAAAGAACTTCCTGGAAAGAGTCCTTGAATGCTTATTGATAAGTCTGAGGCATTTGTGGCTAGTCTTGTATTCATATGAGGTTGATTAAAGAGCCTAGACGCTAAGCCAGGTGTGGTGGCATGTGACTTTAGTCCCAGCACTCTGGGGAGGCAGAGGCAAGCAGATCTCTGTGAGTTTGAGGTCAGAGTTCCAGGATACCCAGGACTACACATAGAACCCCTGTCTTAAAAAACAAACAAATAAATACCTATGTGCTACAACAGGGTTGCCTGCATTGAAATCCCAGCACACATCTTTCAGGCTCAGGGATTTAGGGAACAGTCACTTGCCTTTCTGTGCCTTTATTTGCTTATCTTTTTTTATTTCATTTTGCTTCCTTTGAGACAGGGTCTCATGTAACCCAGGCTGGCCATGAACTTGTTATGTACCAGATGATGAACTCATCTGTGGTCCTCTGCCTCAACCTCTCAAGTGTTGGGGTTAGACGTATGTGGCACTGTGTCTTGTTTATGAGGCACTAGGGACTGACCTAAAGTTTGCTAAGCAAAACTACCAGCAAAACTCTATCTTCAGCTTTTATTTTTGTTTGTTTGTTTTTGGAGACAGGCTCTTGCTATGTGGGTCAGTCTGGCCTTGAACTTATGGTTTAACTCCTAAATGCTGTGATTTCAGTCATGTGCCACCATGCCTAGCTTTCTCATCAGTGAACTGCAGATTATAGTGGTGTACAGTTCCATAATAGCTGTAAAGGTTAAATGTACAAATCCCGATACCGTGCTCAGATGCGTGCTGGACACATACATCTGTGACTATGTTCCAGCTTTGTTATGGTTGTCATTTATATGAAGACTTTCCTTATCACAAAGCTTTATTTATTCATCACCTACTTGGAGGTGTTTTATATACACTAGCCTTATTTTACAGAGATGATGCCAGGTCTCAGGAGGGACAAGTGATTTGTCCTTATATAACCAAGGATGACTTTGAATTTCTGATCCTCCTGCTTCCATTTCCCAAGGGCTGGGATTACAGGTGTATGCCACTGTGCCTGGGTTATATGGTCCTGGGCATGGAACCTAGAAGTCTGTGTGTGCTATGTGAGGCCTTCACCAATTGAACTATATCCCTTAGTCATGTGGAAGGGTTAGCCTCAGGTTAGTCAGTGGTTAGTGGCTAGTTTGTTTTATTTTCATGTACCCCACTTTATCCTTTTCATCATTCCCAAAGGCCCACAATGGGTGCTGTCCCAACCCCCTTGCACTTTCTGGGAGTTGGAACCAGCCCTCAGTGCCTTTCACATGCAACTTGCAGGTGACATATCAGCTGAAGATCCTGACCACAGCACTGTTCTCTGTGCTCATGTTGAATCGCAGCCTCTCACGCCTGCAGTGGGCCTCTCTGCTGCTGCTCTTCACTGGTGTTGCCATTGTCCAGGCACAGCAAGCTGGTGGGAGTGGCCCACGGCCCCTGGATCAGAACCCAGGGGCAGGCTTAGCAGCCGTTGTGGCCTCCTGTCTCTCCTCAGGCTTCGCTGGTGTCTACTTTGAGAAGATCCTCAAAGGCAGCTCAGGTTCTGTGTGGCTGCGGAACCTCCAGCTCGGCCTCTTTGGCACAGCGTTGGGCTTGGTGGGGCTCTGGTGGGCTGAGGGCACTGCTGTTGCCAGCCAAGGCTTCTTCTTCGGGTACACGCCTGCTGTCTGGGGTGTAGTACTAAACCAAGCCTTCGGTGGGCTCCTGGTGGCTGTTGTTGTCAAATATGCTGACAACATCCTCAAGGGTTTTGCCACCTCCCTGTCCATTGTGTTGTCCACTGTTGCCTCCATTCGCCTCTTTGGCTTCCACCTGGACCCATTATTTGCCCTGGGCGCTGGGCTCGTCATTGGTGCCGTCTACCTCTACAGCCTTCCCCGAGGTGCAGTCAAAGCCTCTGCCTCTGCCTCAGCCTCTGCCTCTGGGCCCTGCATTCACCAGCAGCCTCCTGGGCAGCCACCCCCACCACAGCTGTCTTCTCGAGGAGAACTCATCACGGAGCCCTTTCTGCCAAAGTCAGTGCTGGTGAAGTGAGAACTGCTGCTGGGTTGGGGGGGAACAGGGCAGGGTGTTGGGTTGGAGGGGGTTGGGATTCTGCAGGTCCAAAGTTGTTGCCAGGGCCTGACTCTTCTTGTGGGGTTGGAGGGTTTTTTTCTCCCATACTTCTAGAGGGATATGGAAGTAAGGTTGAATGTCACATGAACGCTCCTTGATAGATGGACTCCCCTCTCCTGGAAGAGCTTTTCAGAGCTGCTTCCTCTGCCTCGGGCTAACCTCTTTGGGAACAGGGTTAGGGTACTGCTATTCCAGGCCTTTCCCCCACGACCCTCTGCTGGAGATGTCCTGTCTCACATGCCTGGGACAGTTCATCTCAGCCATCCTGCAGACTGGACAAAAGCCCTGCGGCTCTCCAGTAACGACTAATGACTACTCGTGGGGTTCCATTTGCTATTGTATGAGGCCTTCTCTCCTGCACCATCACCCTGGATCATGACAGCAGCTTGGTCTCTGATGTGGCTTTGGGGCAGTTTCCCTGCTACAGAGAAGATCAATCAGCCTGTTGTAAGTGCCCAGAACCAGGAGAGAGGCACAAGCTGACAATTTCCAATCAGCTCATCTTGGGGAGGGGGCAATAAGTGTCATTTGCTTTCCAATCATTTGGGGATTTGTGATATAATCAGATCCATGATCCAGAGTGTTGGGAAAATGGGGAGGGGAGGTCCTTGAAGTGGCTGCATCTCGTGTAATTGAAGAGACAGGCAAAGGATGATCTTCAGAAACATCCAGAACGGAAAACTAAAGCTGCCAATCCTACTCTTGCAGCTCCATTGGCCGTTTAAAAACACCCTGATTTCATGGTGGGTGTCAGAATTGATGAAACATGGAACCTGCACCCCTGCACTCCCCAAAGCTTATTAACTCCTTCACTGTATCCCAGATGTGTGTGTGTATGTGTGTGTGTGTGTGTGTGTGTGTGTGCACTCGCGTGTGGCTGTGTGTGGATGTGTGCACGCACGCGTAAGTGCACACATGGCAGGTGCCTGGGCTGTCTTCGCTATATGTAAATAGGGCCACTGGATCTTTATTTTTGATTAATTTGTTCTGATTTTTTTTGGTTTGTTTTTTAAGGAACTGTAATGAACAAATGTCAGGATACCCAATGCCAAATAAAGATGATGTATTTATTTAGTCCACGTGTAGCTCTCTGACCCAGGGGCCTGCTCTCTCCACTTAAGCACCATTACTAACTCGTGACTACTAGCATACTACCAGCCACCCTCGCTTGCTCAGGCAACCTGCCCAGCAGCCCACCCCAGCTTTCTGTGTTTCTCTTTCCTTCCCATTTTCTCCACAGGTTGCTCACCAAGGTGAAGGGGTCGTAGCTGCTGGAACGGAAGATGCTGGCCTGCCTTCGTTCTCCCTTCTTGCCCTGGCCCAGCTGGGACTAAACTCTTATCAGTATTAGGGGTTAGGTGAGGTAGACATGGGAGCTCCTTGTCCCCACCCCCTCCCGCCCCCACATAGGGCTGACATGACTAACCTCTGTTAATGGGTCCACCTCAGCTCCTGCTACCTTTACAGTATTTCTTAGGTGAGTTTCTGCAAATAAAATGTGTTTTGCACCTTGTGAGACTGGGTTGGAAAGCCTGGAAAGAATGAAGACAGACAGGAAGCACTCAAGCCTCATGGATATGTTCCACACAAAACCAAAAAGCTTTTATTAAACAACACCAAGAGCTGGCTGTTTATAAACAACACCAAGGGGGCTGGGAGTGTAGCTCACTGGTGGAATAATTATTCAGCATGTAGAAGCCATGGCTCCTATCCCAGAGCCACAAGGAAGAAACACAGAAATGCAAACTGCCACAGCCACAGGGAACAAAGATTCAGTCCTGCTGTTTGGTTCGGGAAGCTTCTGCATTGGCTCGAAGCACAGCCCCTGGAGAAGGGTATGGGCGTTGCTGGAAGAGGGGCCCAGCTGCTGTGGTGTCAGCCCCTGTCTTGGCCTCATTCCTCTTGGGGAGTCCTGTTGACCATGTGCCCCTGGAGACAATAGAGAATTAGAGTACAGCAAAAGGGTGCAGTGGGCGTCCCTTAACTACCCAAGATTAAAGCATGGGAAGAGACAAAAGAGAAAGGTACTATGTACAGGCATGGTGGCGATCCTGAAACAGACTGCCAAAGGTTTCACTTACCGGGGTGCATCTGAGTATGAGCTGGGGTCCATGGGGTCTAATTCTTCATCTTTCCGGCTCGTTGCTATAGAAATAAGTAGCAGGATAAGTTCTTCATTTGAGACCCAAGAAACCCCTCCTCATAGGAAGCAGTATTACCACTGGCTACCATGGCCCACAGCACCCTTCAGAAGCCCAAGTTTAGGCATGAACTAGACATTCTGTGCCCCGGTACCTCACTTGACTCATCTAAGTCCCAAACTGCTGTGCTTACCTTTCTTGTTCTTGGGGTAAGGAGCCAGTTCCTCTCTGCGATGGTGGCGCCGGTCTTTGCCCTCTTCCCGGTCTGCTTTGTCAAATGCCCGCTCCCGTTCTCTGTCCCGATCTCTCTCTCTGTCCACTTTGTCATAGTTCCGCTCTCGTTCTCGGTCAGACTTCTCGTGGTTTCGGTCTGCCTTCTCATGGCTTCTGTCTGGCTTCTCGTGATTACGATCTGCCTTCTCATGATTTCTGTCCACCTTTTCAAGATTCCGGTCCGACTTGTCCTCAGCATCTATGGTAATACACAAGTCCTGAAGCCCCTCTCTTACACATATGGTCTCTTCAGCCTCTCTCCGAGACTGCAAGAATCACTAAAACATCCCTGCATTTGCCAACTCACCTGCATTACTGTTCCTGAGTTTCTTGGCAGATTTGCTAACGACAAAGTTAGGATCATGTGGTGAGAGCCAGGACACGAGGTCTGTTTCCACATTCCAATAGTAAGGGAGTCCACTGTGGGCAGTGAGAGGGACGGGAGTGTCAGCTCAGATGTCCCTTATACCATGTCTCCTCAACCTGTGCCCAGATCTTCATGGTCCCACATGCAGATCTCTTCCCTCTCGACCCACAATATGAGAAAGCACAGGAAGGGCAAAACCAGCTGTCCCTCCCACCTCATGTTGGTAGGCTCACCAAGAAGGGTCAAACACTTTGTACCAGCTCGGTGGCAGACCCTCTATTCGGGTGGCCTCATAGTCAACAGGATCATCATCATAGTCTTCAGCAATAATCTCTTCCTCTGGTTCTGGAAGAATGAGGAAGGAGAAAAGCAGTTTAATTACCCAATAGTGGTGATGGGGGTTTCTTCTCCTATTCTCAGGCTTTGGAGACATGACTGACCACTTGCATCTACACCACCGTGCAGGGAAGACACAGAAGCATGTGCTCAGAGTTGATAATCTTCAAAAATTTAACAGCCAATCAATTCCTGAGTTCAGATGCTATGTGGTGTTGTGTTATCCCAACCTATTTCAATGAAATGGGTTGGAACAGCAGGGAGTTTGCCTAAAATAACATCTAATCTATCCATCTTCCAAACTGCGATGGTTTTCTGACTCATATATATTGGACAGCAAGGAATTCATCTAACTAGTGCTCGGAATCTAGTCCTTGGGGCTGATATACAGCAAGTCTGCCTGCAGCAGACATCTAGTAATGGTAGAATAAAGATGGTATCTATTATCAGCCCAGTGCCCGGCAATCAGTAAGCCCATAATCAGTAATACCGAGAGATTTCATCCCTGAGTATAATTAACAGTAAAATGCATGTGCCCGCAGCATCATAGTGACACCAAAAGAAATGTCAGGTATGATTGTCCATATTGCTAATAAAATAAACCCTATCAGCAGTGGGCTCAGTACTCAAAAGATTTAAAAGAAACACTAATGATACGGGGGTTTGCCTGAAACCCTGGATTCATATCCTAACACCACCAAGAAGACAACTGTCAATGTTCATTATTCGCACTACTAGACACAAAGTCTAAGTCTGGCACAAAGTAGTCTTGTAATAGATGTCAGTTGCCGGGCGGTGGTGGCGCACGCCTTTAATCCCAGCACTTGGGAGGCAGAGACAGGCGGATTTCTGAGTTCGAGGCCAGCCTGGTCTACAGAGTGAGTTCCAGGACAGCGAGGACTACACAGAGAAATCCTGTCTCGAAAAACCAAAAAAAAAAAAAAAAAAAAAAAATAGATGTCAGTTATCCATACACTAATATGACGTACTTTCCAGTGCCTAGCACACCATATAGGTCAAAACTCATGTCCCATTTTATTACTATTGACAATAATGTGTAATTAGCAGCTAGTAATACAGTAAATCTAACTGACAGATAATCGTTCTTGACTGTTAGCATATCATATGTGCCAGGCACTTAGGCAGCTCAAATAAATGTTAATAGGTTACGATGCCCATCACCAAAGTACCTCTGCTGAGTTAAACCATAGAGCATCAACACCTTGTCACTGTATTTGACACATAGGAGACTGCAGGTTATATCAGGTGTCATTTTTATTAAATAAATACTGGCCTGGTATGGTAGTGCACACCCTTTAATCCTAGCATTGGGGAGGCAGAGCCAGGCAGATTTCTGTGAATTCAAAGCCAGCCTGATCTACACAATGGCCTGCCAGAACTACGGTGAGACCATGTCTCAAGCATTAATTAGTTAAATACCATGCAGCCATGGATTTATTTTAGTTATTTTCTTTTTCTTTCTTTCTTTTTTTTTGGGGGGGGGGGGGTTCGAGACAGGGTTTCTCTGTGTAGCCCTGGCTGTCCTGGAACTCACTCTGTAGACCAGGCTAGCCTCAAACTCTCAAACTCAGAAATCCACCAGCCTCTGCCTCCCAAGCGCTGGGATTAAAGGCGTGCACCACCACCGCCCGGCATTATTTTCTGATACACACACACACACACACACACACACACACACACGCCATGCTGGGATTACAGATGAATGCCACCACACTTAGCTTTATTTTCTGAAGACTGGGTCTTGCCAAATTGCCATGTCTGGCCTTGACCTCCTGGGCTCAAGCCATGTTTGTAGCCCAGCCTCCTTAGGAGCTGAGACTATTTGTACCCGCCGCTGTGCCCACTTGATTCATGAATTAAAGTAAGTCTATCCTTCCAGCCTTACACTTCACACAGTACCTACCAACCACGAAGGCGTAATGGAGACCAGAAAATTATACTGACAATGAGATGCCTGCCAGGCCATGCAAGAAATCAAGTATCAAAACCAAGGCGCCTGTCAAGGAGATAGACTTCAATAATAGAGCTTTGGCCTGACCCCAGCCGTACGGGGGGGGGGGTTGGGGGGAGGAGGTGTGCACGCTTGGGCTGCAGAAGATGGCAGAGCACTTACTTTGCATGCACCTTGATTCGACGGGGGTGGGAGGGGGCGGAGAACAGGGTGGAATAAAGAATAGAATAACAGAACGTCCGTTAACACTGGCACATGCATCTGCTTTTAGTTTTCTCACCCGGCTCCAGATGTTTGAGGATGCCCCTCTTCGCCAAGCGGGTCTGCAGCGCAACAGGGAGCGGCATAGTGGGTTGCTGACCAGACCTAGAAACTGACAAGACAGTACTGAAGGACAGACCCGTTGAACATTTCAATTTGGATATCCAGTAACCATGCACCACCCTACTGCGTGTGCTCATTTGACCCCACCACCACCACCTACCTAACTGCACTAGTAGCTGGAAGAGCACAACAACACTGCGTGCTAAAAGATGAAAGAGATACGGAGCAGTGCACCAGAACTCTACGGACCCAGGTACTGGAGACCGGATGGACCAAAGACCCAGTTCCTCTCTAGACCATGGCTCCACCCATCGCCCAAGGGACCAAGTGCCACACACCCGCAACCCAGAAATGGGATCACCCAACGTTCCTCAAAGTCCGCACGGTGGGCAGAACCAAGGCGCTAGGATGGGGGAGATAAAAATGCCAACGCCATCTCCAGCTTTAAAAGGAAGCTCACACCCCAGCCTTACCAGTACAACTGCGCAGTTAGTCAAAGCCGGTCACCTTGCCCTCCTCTCCCTCGTTGTCACAACGCTTACCAATACCGATGGGGTCCTGTTTTAAAGCCCAACACGCTCCTGAACTCTCCCCAGCTACAATTAACTGGTCGACTCATGAGCTTACAGGGAACGGATGTGGCCCGCTTGGCTAGCCAATAAGAGCACGCCATTGCCCTGACGTAGGCAGCGAAAAACCAATTGTTTCCTTGGTCTACGCACGGCGCCTTAGCGCTTGTGGGCGTTTCGGAGTGGGGGGGAGTGTCTCGCCCGCGCGACCGACTGCTCCAGGCCGGACGCTGGCGCCATGGAAGAGTACGCTCGCGAACCTTGGTACGGCGATGGCACAGGCTTCAGGACAGTCCGCGCGACGCTCAGGCGGACCATGGGAGGCGGGCGGGGAAGGCAGGGGCTGCAATGTTAAGTCCCTGACGCAGGAGGCTTGGAAACTTCACTGCCTCAACGCATCCGGCAATGGTTCCTCCCACTCGGACTTCGTCAGAAAACCGCCACAGTGGAGTGTCCCAGTATGTGCGGTGTGGGACAAACTACAGCACTGTTGCCCTGGCTCTTCTCCTAGACCCTATCTTTTGTGCCAAAAGTGAAACGTTGAGCAGATCCATTCCGATGGCG